ACTTTTTAGTGAGGATATTGCATTGAAATCTATTGAAGTCACTGAAAAGTGATTCACAATTTTTATTAAGATTTTTCATTTTTCTGTTTTTCATTGTTTTACTTGCTTCTCAGTGACTGGAATTCATTACTATCTTTAATTAAAAGTGCCTAAATATCAATAACCGTGCACCGGCGTAAAAAAAGCAAAAATACGTGTCTAATTATTTTTTGTCCTCTACAATATAAACTCGAAAAAAATCGAAAATGACCGTACAAGCAAGGTCACTTCCCTTGTGAGATGTTAACAAGTGACACTTGTCAAGTGCTGGGCGATTTTATCGATAAAATCGATAGTGATCGATATTTTCTGACTTTAGCGATAATCGATTACCAAGAACCAACATCTATGTTCATCAATCTTGATTAATCGGATTAAGTTAATCCCTCTATACCATGCTATTGAAGCTCATTTTGACATTTTTTCTACGTTCATGGATATTTATATTTTTCAACTATGCCCTGAACTTTTCAATCAAACTTAGATTATCGATGATCATGGATTGAAAAATTGCTTAATAATCAATAATCTGAATTTGCATAATGGTCCATCACTTTAACCACTTTATTTGGCTGGAGGAAAGAAATTGGCCGATTAGCGTTTATACTAACAAGCGTTATAAAACGAGTAACCGGTTAGGTTCAAATCAATTCCCAACAAAGAGTTATACTCTTTGATTTCAAGTTAAAACTATAATTATAAGATACCAGAGCTGGTCGACTCACAAGTCAGTCGACAAGTCAGATTGAAGCGCAACAGTTCAAATGTCCAAATTATGTCAGATAACGATTTGTATCTTTTGGTTTGGTTGGGCAAGACATGGTCTTATTTTGTAGGGGTAGCTAACATTTACAATCTGGTGTAATGAGCTTTAAATGATTTCTAAACATTGTTATTACAGTCTTTCTTTTACTTTTGAAGCTATTGGCTGAACTTGTTTTGATTTTTATTCTTAAACAAATATCAATTATTCGACAATATACGAGATCAAAATACAAAGATAACTATAATATCATGGCTCGAAATCTTGAAGGTTTGCAGTTCGATGATGAATAAGAATGGCATTACAATCACTTAATCATTTATATTATTTATCAATTGGTTTTTCATCGAAGGTTTTATACTTTGAATCACAATATTACAAGACTATTGGTTACCCAGCACTGAGTGGTGAAATGGTCCATCAATTCCATTTAAGAGCGATAATTAAGATCTCAGTAAGATATCGAGGTATAAGACACTTTTTCCAATATCGTACACCTCACAACTGAAAGAAAAATTACGTACAAAAGATCAATAATTTTTTCTCCTTCTCATTTTTAATCATCTACTGGGTCCAAAAAATTAGGTAACTGATAAAAACTTTTGAAAAAACAATGTTCCATGAAATCAAATCCACGACAAACTTTTTTCCACGGATTTAATGACTGCGGCCAATCAGCTTCAATTTGTTTATCGTCTCTTTTGAAATAAAACTTGATTGATCGGCCATAACGCTTACAATAATCCTGAACATGATCAGCAGCTTCTTGAGTGACTCCATAAGATTTACGAACATCAAGTAGTGTCAGTTTTGGCAAAATTAATATCAATTGCTTGATTGTGACATCTTTTAAATAGGTACCTCGTATTGCCAAATGTTTTAGATTTGGATATTTGGACATGCATCTTGGTAGTTCAATCCATTCGCTTGATTGATACTATTAAAATGTAAATAAATGTAAATTCGTTGATACGCTACTCGATTGCATTGAAAAAAATTGTTTCAAAATATAAATAAAAGTCGAGAGATCAAAGTATCACATAATTGAAAAAAACGAATAAATATCGACATTAAAATGACAAATATATCAGAAGCGAAATCCTACTCACAAATTGTATGACTAAATCTCGTAAGTTCACACGTTTATCATACGATTGAAGGTAATGCGACTGGAATCAATTCTGATATGAGCACTCTGTAATGCTGAGCACCCATCCATGAATTTGAATGAACAGCAAGTGCCTACACAATCAATGAGAGGCAAACCCATTTCAAGTATTTTAAGATTTGCCAATACTGGAGCATCAGAGTATTCTTCTCGTAAGTCTAAACATGGAAAAGGTTAGTCAACAAGCAATTATAAAAGTTAATTTATGAAATTACCTTCTGTAGCATAAATTTTCAGTCTTTCAAGATTTGGGAAACGATGTGCCGCGCATTTGAATAGACCTAGATTAGTGTTCCAAAGGTGCAATTGTTTCACATTTCCATAGATTCCACTTATGTTTGGATAAATATATCCGGTAGATAACATTTCGAGGTTAGCGTTTTCCGGTATGCATCCGAAATCCAGATGGTAATCACAATCAAATATTATTCCTTTCAAAGAGTCTGAACCTCTGATTAGTTTAATCATATCTCCGATTGGTGCTTTTCCATCGTGTGAATATGCAAATTCGGCAATCTGTTTTGATGAGATTTGAATTAAAAATAAAAACTGCATAAACGATGAAAGTGAAATAATATAAAATCTGTCGACAAACCCTTAAATTTGGAAACAATGTGCTCAAACAGGTTACATCAATTGGTTCCTTAAGGTGCAGATAAACATAATCAGGCGAATAATTTGGTTGATCTGAAATTGATAAATGATTTTATTAGGGAAAGAATCACAATGAGAATACACATCAATGAAAATTTAAATCTTACCAATCAAATATTTAAGCTTTTTAGCCCGATCTGCAATTATATCACTCCATTTTTCGAAAACTGTAATTGAAATGCGTCGAATTAATCCTAAATTGAAATATTCGTAACCAAATATTGCTTTTCCAGCCGGTCGATAAACATCATTCATTTTTTGGCAACCAAAGAGGCTTCATTTGCATAAAAGTTGGATACAGCATTTATCGTACTGTGTTTTACTGTGATTTTAATTGAAAGCTACCAATGGTTCTGATATATTCTGATTTTACTCACATTTAACAGTCATAAATAAATAGCATAATCGCACTTACCTTTGAATAAGTTTATTAAATCTTTTATATCTTGGATGTAATCAAGAATAGACAACAAACAATCACCTGGAAGTTCATTTAATAACATTGTTAAATCACCTTTGAAATGAAAACTTTAATCAATTTCCAGTAAATAAAACTATAATAATTAGTAAATAACACAGCTAGTCGATTCAGACGACAAGTCAGTTGAAATTAGAGCGATATGTTCACCATTAACCGGTAACCCCTTTAGTCCGTTATTTGGTTAGTGGAGAAGGAAAAGTAACCGGTTAATTGCTACAAGCGTTTATAATAAAGCGAGTAACCGGTTAGTGGTAACCGTCCCAACTTGAAAGAGAACCTGATTTATAAAATCCTAGTTTTCTTTCTCATCTTCCTCTGTCTACTTTACTTCATTTAATTCAAAGGAGTATATGCATAAACTTATGGGTTAAGTTTTCTTGAGACTCTCAAGTTGAGAGTTAAGAGTTGAGTTTAGGTGATCTTGCAAATAAAGTCTAGAAGACAATAGGCTCTGCTTTACGAGAAAATGGTTTTCGACTCTGTCAAATTATAAATATTGAGTCTAAATATTTCAAAACTAATGATTACCCGAACTAATGACCATAATGACCAGTTGACGGGCATAATGACCCGTCAACTCTATCTAACAAGGGAAGTAACCCAGCTGGTACGGGCAGATCAAAATGAAAATGGATTTAATGGAAAGCCCGTGTCAGAAAACTTTTAAAAACACCAATCTCGCGATGAGCAAATCGATCTGAAAAAAGTTACAGGGTCACAAATGTTTTGATCGCGGAGGTCAAAATGATTAATAAAATCGAATTTAAGAAAAATATTTATGTCAAATCAAATTATTTAGGTGTAAATGATAATGAGGAACCCAAATCTGCCATCAGTTTTTTCTACTATTTTTAGTTTGCGAAAAAATCGAAAAAAACCATCAAAATGAACACCCAAAAATTTCTCGAAAAACTCAAATCTGAAAAAAACTTCCTTTAAAATGAAACAAATGTATTTTGCATCATAAAATAGTTTCATGTTTTCGGATGTTGATCTGCCCGTACCAGCTAGGTTACTTCCCTTGTAAGATCGATAATCGGTCTAATTGAGATATCGAGGTATAAGACACTTTTTAAATATCACACATCTTACAAGTGAAACAAAATTAGGTGCAAAGAATTGACAATTTTTTCTCTTTTCCATTTTTAAGCATTAAATTGGATCCAAAAAATGAGGCAAATAATAGAAACTTTTGAAAAAACAATGTTCCATGAAATCAAATCCACGACAAATTTTTTCTGGTCGATTTAATGACTGCGGCCAATCAGATTCAATTTGTTTGTCGTCTTTTTTGAAATAAAACTTGATTGATCGACCATACTGCTTAAAATAACCCTGAAAATGGTTAGCAGCTTGAGTGAACCCATAAGATCCACGAATATCAAGTAGTGTTAGTTTAGGCAAAACTAATATCAATTGCATGATGTCTTCATCTCCAAAATAGGTAGTACCTCGCAATGCCAAATGCTTTAGATTTGGATATTTTGATATTAGTCCTCGTATTTTATCCCATCCGATTTGTTCGTTCTGTTAAAATAGAAATACAGTTCAACTCCGTATATTTTGATTTTTCTTTAGCCTTTCTACCCTTCACTTCAGGGGGAGTCATTAGGATTGACTAACTATTAGGTTGTAAACAAAGTTTTGATACAGCTCAATTCAAATGACCATTAAATTGTTAGAATTAAATTTAATTTTTTGATTTTTATACCAACAATTAATTCAAGTCTAAGCTTTAATTCAAATTAATTTTCATCAGTAAAAATATTGATTAACGAACTTTAAATTTAATTCAACCAAATCTTAGTTTTTTTTTATTTTCAACAATCAAGTTTAATTATTAATTTTTATCGACAAACAGTCGAATATCAAATCAAAATTAACATCATTTTGTTGCTCGAAAACTAGATAATTTATCCTAATTTTTATTATTTTTTTAATCGCTACTATTCTTTAATTATTTCTTAAGAATCAAAATTTGATTTAACATTGAATTCTCATAGAAGAGATTTTTCCGCGTTTTCGATAAAAATCACATTAGAAAGTCTCATAGAAAATTGTTGAAAAATTGACTTTACAACTGATAATTTACTAAATTAATTGGATAATGCTAGTGATTAAATTAAATATTTTTTAGATAAATTCTATGGATTCTGAGCTTCAAATTGATGTTAATTTCTCTGCGATATTCACTCATTTAAAAATCAAATTTATTGATTAAATTTAATTGTTGAAAAATGCCAAAAATTGATGAATTGATTAAATTAGGATTTGAGTTAACGATTAAATTTTTTTTACTTTTAAATCAGTTTAAGTTGTAGCTAAGATTTTACTTTATCGTTTTTATAAAAATCAAAAGAATAAAATTAATTTTCGCAATTTGCTAATCATTTGAAATCAAGAATGTATCAAAAGTATCAAAACTTTGTATACAACCTAATATTTAAACTGTAAAATTAATTGTTCCCCCTGTAGTTCACCTAGATGTCTGTACTGCAAAAAAATCAAAATATACGGAGTTAAACTGTAAATGTAAATTTGTGACGCTATGTGAATAAATAACATTTGCACTGAAAATATAAATAAAAGTCGGCAGATAAAAGTTATTTCATAATTGAGAAAAATGAATAAATATCGACAAAAAACCATACTCACAAATTGTATAGCCAAATCTAGTAAGTTTGCATTTTTTATCAAATGATTGAACACAATGCGCCTGGATTCAAATCTGATATAAGCACTCTGTAATGCTGGGCACTTATCCATGAATGAAAAGCAAAGGCTTACCCAATCATCAACAGGCAAATTTATTTCAAATATTTTAAGATTTGCCATTACTGGAGCAACAGAGGGTTGTTCGGATACGTCTAAATATAAAAAAGGTTAGTCGACAAGCAATTATAAAAGATAATATATGAAATTACCTTCTGCAGCATGAATTCTCAGCCTTTCAAGATTTGGGAAACGATGTGCCACGCGTTCGAATAGGCCTAGACTAGAGAACAAAAGGTGCAATTGTTTCACATTTTCATAGATTCCACTCATGTTTCGATCAATATATCCGGTAGTTAACATTTCGAGGCTAGCATTTTCCGGTATCGATTCGAAATCGAAATCCTTAAAGTTAACCCCATAATGGATTATTCCTTTCAAACATTCAGAATCTCTTATTAGTTTAACTATATCTTCAATTGGTACTTCGAGTGGATATGAAAATTCGGCAATCTGTTTTGATGAGATTTGAATTAAAAATAAAAACTACATAAACAATGGAAGTGAAATAATATAAAATCTGTCGACATACCCTTAAATTTGGAAACAAAGCGCTCAAACATGTTACATCAATTGGTTCCTTAAGGTGCAGATAAACATAATCAGGCGAATAATTTGGTTGATCTGAAATTAATAATCGATTTTATTAGGAAAACAATCACAATGAGAATAGACATCAATGAAAATTCAAACTTACTTCTCAAATATTTAATTTTTTTAGAATAATGAGCAATTAAATCACGCCATTTATCGAAAACTGTAATTGAAATTTGTCGAATCAATCCTAAATTAAAATATTAGTAACCAAATATTTCGCTCTTTCAGTCAGACGATCAACATCATTCATAACAGGGTAGCAAAAGAGCTTTCATTGAAACATTTTTTTTCGTATAAATTTTGAATAATATGTTGAGCTTTTATAATGTATTCAACTGTGGTTTCAATTGATAGCTATAAATGATTTCAATATAATCTGATTTTCCTCACATTTTACAATTTAAATACACCGATTTTGTCCACCACTTTTTTTACCGTCTTTTGACCGTATTGTCCACCATATTGTTCACCACCCAGTCTAACACATCCACCAAATCAACCAAATCAAATATCCACTCTAAAGTGGTCGACAATATGGTGGACAATACGGTCAAAAGACGGTAAAAAAGTGGCGGATGCGGTGGAAAGAGCTGGTCCCCGAGGTTTGGGTGTAATGATATAATTCGCACTTACCTTTGAAGCAGTTTATTAAATCTTGTAAATCTTGTAAATCTTGTATATAATCAAGAATAGCCAACAAGCAAAGTTAATTTATCAACATTTTTAAATCACCTTTGAAATGTTAATTTCTAATTTCCAGTTAATAAAACTATAATAATTATTAAATAACACAGCTAGTCGATTCAGACGACAAGTCAGTTGAAAGTTGAGCGATATGTTAACCATTAACCGGTAACCTTTAGCCCGTTATTTGGTTAGTGGAGAAAGAAAAGTAACCGGCTATACTAGTAACTAGCGTTTTAAAACGAGTAACCGGTTAGTGTTAACCTTCTCAGTTTGAACGTGATCCGCATTTATAAAATCCTAGTTTTAGTGTTAAAATTAACGATATTTTCTCATTTTCCTCTGTCTATTATTTATTTCATTTTATTCAAGGAGTATATGCACAAACTTTGGATTGAAGTTTTGTTGAGAGTTAAGAGACTCTTAATAAGAGTTGAGTTTTGGTGATCTTGCAAATGAAGTCTAGAAGGCAATAATAAAGTTTCTCTGGTTTTCGAGAAAATGGTTCGAGACACTGAATTTCGCACGCTTTTGTAGAGTTATGTAATCTCTTTCATCCAATTCATGTTCTCATGTAACTTTACTACCTATTAAAGTGGGTTAGCAAGTCTCAATAGTTTTTAGAGTTGAATGACACGCTCGGACTTCACTGTTATCAGTAGTCCGACATAACATAACTTCAGACTATCTAAAAATATCCGAATATTGCGCTTAGATAAATAATCTTAGGATAACAAAAGAGGTTTAATCAGTATAAAAGTTGGATTAATATGTTGTTATAAAGATAATTTTTAACTCGAGAGTTTTTGATTTTATGCAAATAATTTCTAGTCATTTGAAAGCCATTGGTTCTATTCAAACGAGAATCACTTTGTATTGCATGGGTTTCACTTTGCAGCAGTTTATTGAATCTTTGATTCTTTTTTTATAATCAAAAATAGTCAGCGAACAATCATCTAAAAGTTCATTTATCAACATGGATGAAGCAAATTTGGCATAATGGTATTAAAATGCCATCTTCATAGTAACTCTAGCCAACCTAAAACTTTAGGTTTAGACAGAAATACAAATAATTTTAAATTCTCGATGTCATAAAATAATTATTTTATTTGTCATGAAAATGAGATGAGTTATAGCTCAGTTTTATACAATTGACTGCATTTAAATTACCAGTTTTGTCGAAATCTGTTAGAACCTTGGTTAGATCCTTGATTGCCAAAACGTCCATCAAATCGTTCATTTTCACCGAAACGTCGAGAACCTGCTAATTTCTGGTGATCAAATCCTCTAGATCCTCTAAAATGTTTATGGTCTTCAATCCAAGCTTCTCATCATCGTCGTCGTCATCTGCATCTTCATCAAAATGTCTGAATCCAGGGAATGGTCTTGACCCGAAGGATGGAGGATGAGGTAAGCCAAATGATGGTCGAGGTCGATTGTTGGCCAAAGCATTATTGATCTCCTTCAGCAAGTCATCAATAGTCTTAAGAAGTTCCTCAGCCTCATTGTTTACAGATGATTCCTGATTGTCAATGGCACTTTCAGTGGTCAACTCGTCTTGTGATACAATTGCTGCACCAGAAACAGTGTAGACAACGAGAGATACATAATAATAAAATATAATAAAATAAAAATTGTAAATGAACTCATTTTGCAAGGGATTTTGTTATATCAAATCAAACTTTAAACTCGAATAATCTGAAGATAATGATTTGAAAATAGTCAAAAAGATTCATTTATACTAGCGATCATAATTTCACACGAAATAGATCAAGAATACTGTCAAGTATTTTGATCGACATGTCGAGGCTCATTTAAAAAAACAATCCCACAGATGCAGCAAGTTCGCGCTTTATGAACTTGAAAATATATTGGTTTTTATAAGCAGCTGAAGTATAAATGATTCTGATGATTCATAAATACTTTCATTCAGAGAAATTTTTAAAATTCAACAAAATTCGGCAACCATTATTAAGACAGAAAATTCAAAAAATGGTTATTTTACTTAATAACTTGCTCGCCACTCACAGCAATAACTTTCTATGAATGAGTCTGGAATTGATTTGGGTTACCATTGAATCAAGATGACACCTTTTCTCCCCTTATCGAGTCATGAAGTGAGCTTTAGTGTTCTGTTGTTTACAGCATGAAAGTTTTTCCAATTGATGACGAGTTGTGTCATAAACTGTAACTTTTCGTTAGATGCAATTCACAATCCATTTATCATTCATAATATTTATCAATAGGGTTCTCATTGAAAGACATAAACATTGAGTGACAATAATTAAAGACAAGTGGCTACCCAGCATTGATTGGTGTAATGGTCCATCAATTTCATCTAAGATCGATAATTATGGTCTGAACAATATAGAAAGGGTTACATTTCTTTCAATATCGTACAGCTTACAGCTGGGACAAAAATTAGACGCAGAGGATTGACAATCATGCTATTATAAGCATTTTTTACTCATCTATTGGATCCAAAATAGAGGCAAATTTCGGAAACTTTTGAAAAAACAATGTTTCAAGGTTTGCACTCCGACGTTGAATAAGAATGGTATTACATGTACGTAATTAATATAATAATAATTGTCACTTGGCTTCTCATTGATGGACATAAACTTTGAGTCTCAATATTTCAAATGATTACCCAGCACTGAGTGGTGTAATGGGCTGTCGATTCCATATAAGAGCAATAATTATGGTCTAAGATATCGAGGTGTGAAACATTTCTTTAAATATCTTAAACTTCATGGCTGGATATTAGAAAAATTGCAAAGGATTGGCAGTTTTTTTCATTCTTTTAATCATCTATTGGATCCAAAAAATAAGGCAAATCATCGAAACTATTGAAAAAACAATGTCTCATGAAATCAAATCCACGACAGATTTTTTCAGGCCAATCAGTTTCAAGTTGTTCGTCGTCTTTTTTAAAATAAATCTTGATTGATCGGCCATACCGCTTACAATAGTCCCGAACATGATCAGCAGCTTCTTGAGTGACTCCATAAGATTTACGAATATCAAGTAGTGTCAGTTTTGGCAAAATTAATATCAATTGTTTGATGTGTTCATCTTTCAAAGAGAAATTTCGTAATGCCAAATGCTTTAGATTTGGGTATTTCGACATCAGTCTTCGTAGGTCATTCAATTCGATTGAATGGTGCTAACAAAATAGAAATAAATTTATAAAGATGTGAAGATGCTATTGAATAAATAACACTTGCAATGAATTTCAAAGTTCAAATGGCATTCGACAGACCAAAGTCCATCCCATAATTGAGAAAATGAATGAATATCGACAATAAAATGATTAACACTATCATGATAACACGCTTTTCACTAAAATATGAAATTATACTCACAATTTCTATAACCAAATCTTGTAAGTTTACAAGTTTTACTGAAAAATTGACCTCGACGGACGAGTTATTAAACCTGATATGAGCACTCTGTAATGCTGGGCACGAATCCATGAATACAAATGAACACCGACCGTCTTCCCAGTAACCGTGAGACATTCCCATTTCAATTATTTTAAGATTTGCCAATACTGGAGCGTTGGAGTAAGGTTCTGATAAGCCTAAACATACATGAATAAATGAATATCAAAAGTCATCATACTTATCATTAGAAAAAAGTTAAAATATTTTAAAATTTGAACATTATTGGACCATCATAGTCTGGGTCATAATCTGTTGTGTCTAAACAGAAAAGGGTCGGTTAATAACCAATTATAAAAAATATATTCTAAAAACATTTGAATTGTAAATATTAATATTATGAGATTACCTGGTTTCATATAAAAATGTAACCTTTCAAGATTTGGAAAATAATGGGCCAATTCGCATAGATATAAATTAGACATATCAAGGTGCAATTGTTTCACATTTTCATAGATTCCACTTATGTTAATACTGATGGAACCGGTAGATAACATTTCGAGGCTAGCGATTTCCGGAATCAGTTCGAAATCCAAATAGTAATTGAAAGGAAAGATTATTCCTTTTAAAGATTCTGAATCTCTGATTAGTTTAACAATATCTTCGATTGGTACTTTTCCATGTAATAGGAAAAAAAGGTCCACAGTCTTTCATAATAAGATTTGTAAAAAAATAAAATCTTAGAAACAATGCAGTGAAATAATATCAAACATTCAACAAACCCTTAAATTTGGAAACCATTTGCTCAAACATGTTACATCAATAGGTTGATCTACGTAACCACCAACACAATCAGGAGAGTAATACGTTTGATCTGAAATTAATAATTGATTTGATTAGGAAAATATTTGACAATGAGAATAAGCATTAACGGAAATTAAAATCTTACCAAACAAATATTTGACTCTTCTTGTCCGACCAACAATAACATTACACCATTTTTCGCAAACTGTAATTGGAATTTGTCAAATTAACGAAAATATGGTGAGAGTCTAGCTACACGGACACATATAATAAACAGTGCTATAGATTCAAATAAATATAAAATATATAGTAATTATAAAATTCATTAGGAAAATGGTGAACAATGAGAATAAGCATAAATGGAAATTAAAATCTTACCAGTCAAATATTTGACTCTTTTTGTCCGACGACCAACAATTACATTAGACCATTTTACGCAAACTGTAATTGGAATTTGTCAAATTACTATGAATTTACAAATCATGACTTCAAATTACCGAAAATATTGGTATTTGAATATTGCGATTTATCAGTCAGACGATCAACAACATTCATAACCGTTTCTTTCGTATAAAAGTTGGATTAATATGTTGGGCTTTTTTGAGAGTATCATGTATTTAACTGTGGTTTCAATTGATAAATATAAATGATTCCAATATAATATGATTTCCCTAAAATTTAAAAATACAAATAAATAGCATGATTTGCACTTACCTTTGAAGCAGTTTATTAAATCTTCTAAATCTTGTATGTAATCGAAAATAGTCAGCAAACAATCATCTGGAAGTTCATTTATTAACATTATTAAATCACCTTTGAAGTATTAAATTTAATCAATTTCCAGTTAATAATAAAACTATAATAATTAAATAACACAGCTAGTCGATTCAGACGACAGTTCAGTTTAAAGTTGAGATGTTGACAAGTTGACTAGCAGCAAATCGATAGTGATCGATATTTTCTGACTTAAGTGATCATCGATTAGTAAGGAACAAACATCGATGCTTATTAATCTTTCTGAATGTGTTTTTTCTACGTTTATGGATATTTTTTCCAACTATGCCCCGAACTTTTTTCATCAAACATAGATTATCAATGATCATGGATTGAAAAATTGCTCAAAAAATCAATAATCTTAAATTCGCATAATGGTCCAGCACTAACATTAATCACTTTATTTGGCTGGAGGAAGGGAAATTGGCCGATTGGCGTCAAAAGATCAACAATTTTTTCTCCTTCTCATTTTTGATTATCTACTGGATCTAAAAAATTGAGTGATTCATAAAAATTTTTGAAAAAACAATGTTCCATGAAATCGAATCCACGACAAACTTTTTTCCCTGGATTTAATGACTGCGGCCAATCAGCTTCAATTTGTTTATCGTCTCTTTTGAAATAAAACTTGATTGATCGACCATATCGCTTACAATAGTCCGGTACAAGATCAGCAGCTCTGGCAGATGCAAAGAAATGACAATAGTGTTAACATTTCCATTTTAAATCATCTACTAGATCCAAAAAATGAGGCAACTCAATAAAATTTTTGAAAATACAATGTTCCATGAAATCAAATCCAAGACAAACTTTATCAGGTCGAACTTTCAGTGGTCAACTCGTCTTGTGATACAATTGCTGCACCAGAAACAGTGTAGAAAACGACAGCTAAAATAGCAATGGTAAATGAACGCATTTTGCAAGGGATTTTGTTATATCAAATCAAACTTTAAACTGGAATAATCTAACGATAATGATTTGAAACTAGTCAGATAAATGCATTATGTACACTCAAAACGCTTGGAGACGAACACAAAATCAAAAAAGTGAAACATTTTTCAAGTTGAGTTCAAAAAGAATGAAACAAAATTCACTTGGCGTGAAACAGATTTCAAAATGAGAGGAACATATCTATGAGAATAGGTTGAAAACGTTAAAAGGGTGTCAGTCCATAGTCCGCTTATACAATTTGGTATATATTTCATCACATGATCGACATATTTTTGACAGGCGTCAACAGTAATTATATGCACGCAAAATTCAATTCTCGAAAAACATCCTTTTGATGGTGATGTGGGACTGACACCCTTTTAACGTTTTCAACCTATGGTGCTGGACAAAATTTTTCGTACACCTCTTGATTTGTCTGTTATGAATGAGGAAATGAATAAAAATATCTCTAAACAAACAAAATAACTAAGCAGTTTGGAACCAATTTGGAACGAAAACCACAAAAATATTAATTTAAAGCTGCATGATTGGCGATTGTTTTATCCATCTTGATTAAACTTCCTCAATTGAGTTATGAAGTGAGCTTTAGTGTTCTGTTGTTTGAAGCATGAAAGTTTTTCCAATTGATGACGAGTCATGTCATCAACTGTAACTTTTCGTTAGATGCAATTCACAATTAATTAATCATTCATTATATTCCATCAAAGATCCGATTATTGTCTGAGTAAGATATAAAGGATTATGTCTCTTTCAATATCGTACTCCTTAAAGCTGGAACAAAAGTTAGACGCAGAGGATTGACAATCATGTTATCTTTTGCATTTTCAATCATCTATTGGATCCAAAAAATGAGGTAAATGATCGAAATTTTTGAAAAAACAATGTTCCATGAAATCAAATCCACGACAGATTTTATTTGATCCATATATGTTTAATGAGATATGTGGCCATTCACCGTGTCTGCCTTCTGCTGAAAGAAACTTGATTGAACGCCCAAAATGCTTACAATAATCCCGAACATGATCAGCAGCTTCTCGAGTGACTCCACGAGATTCACGAATATCAAGTAGAGTAAGTTTTGGCAAGATGAATATTAATTGTTCGATGTGCTCATCTTCCAAAGAGGTATCTCGTAATGCCAAATGCTTAAGATTTGGATATTTTGACATTTGTTTTCGTAGTTTATCCCATTCGATTGGTTCTAACTATTAAAATAACGAAATGTGTCAATTTGCAAATAAATAACAGTTGCATAGCAAGAAAGGTTGTTTCAAAATTTCAAAAACAGTCGATGGATCAAAGTTATCCCACAATTGAGAAAAACATGAATATCGACAATAAAATGATAAACAAATTCATGATAACACACTTTTCAGAACTAAAATTCATCTCAGGCAGAATCCTACTCACAAATTGTATAACCAAATTTTGTAAGTTTGCATGTTTTATCGCATCATTGAACACAATGCGACTGCAATCAATTCTGATATGAGCACTCTGTAATGCTGGGCACGAATCCATGGCTAAAAATGAACAGCTAATGTCACGAGGCCGATCAAAACTGTAAAAAGCCATTTCAAATATTTTAAGATTTGCCATTGCTGGATGATCAGGGCGATAATCTTTTCCATCTAAACATGGAAAAGGTTCATCAACAAGCAATTATTAATATAAAAGATTTTATAATTTATGAAATTACCGTCTGCAACATAAATTTTGATCCTTTCAAGATTTGGAAAACAATGCGCGATGGATTCGAATAGACCTAAATTACAGTCATAAAGGTGCAATTGTTTCACATTTTCATAGATTCCACTTATTTTTGGACTGAGGTATCCGGTAGATAACATTTCGAGGTTAGCGATTTCCGGCATCAATTCGAAATCCAAATAGTAATTACAAGGAAAGATTATTCCTTTTAAAGATTCTGAATCTCTGATTAGTTTATCAATATCTTTCGTTGGCGTTCTTATTATCATAGCTTCATTACTTCGTAGTACATTGGATATGTGGAACAAGTCGGCAATCTGTCATGATAATGGTTTGTAAAAATAAATATTATAAAACAATCGAAGTTAAATAATATAAAATCTGTCAACTAACCCTTAAATTTGGAAACAATTTGCTCAAACATGTTACATCAATAGGTCGATTTACGTAGTTACAAACATAATCAGGCGAATAATAAGATTGATCTGGAATTAATAATTGATTTGATGAGGAAAGTGGTTAACAATGAGAATAAGTAATAATCAAAATTAAATCTTACTAAACAAGTATTTGACTCTTCTTGTCCGACCAACAATTACATTAGACCATTTTACGCAAACTGTAATTGCAATTTGTCAAATTACTATTAAATTAACTAAACATAACTTAAAACTAGCTAAAATGTTAGTAGGTTGGAAACCAAAGAGGTTTCTTGCGCATAAAATCTTGATATATTAATAATACCATTTATCGTATTTTATTTTAGCTTACTTTCAATTGAAAGCCATAAAGGATTCCGATATCATCTGATTAGTTTCACATTTAATGACACACATATCACACATAAATAACATGCCTTGCACTTACCTTTGAAGCAATTTATTAAATCTTGTAAATCTTTTATGTAATCAAATATAGTCAGCAAACAATCATCTGGAAGTTCATTTATTAACATTGTTAAAGCAACTTCAAAATGATTACTTTAATCAAATACAGTTGAACTATAGAAGTTATTAGCGAATCCGAGCAAAAATTAGGATTCGATTATCTGATATTCAATTGTTGAGGAGGTGAACGAAAACCTGTCAGCTCGCTTTTTCATCTTCAAAGTCATAGTTGGCTTCGATGAAAGTTCAATGAGGATCAAACTAGCTAGTTGAGACTTGGAAGATTAAAAAGTGTGCTAACGGGTTCTCAATTAGCCTAACCATTAAGGAACCGAAAAAAACTTCGTTAGAGATTCCAATAAACATTGAGTTTTTTTCTTGCATGAAATACATTTCGGAATCATCAGAGCTTAAATTGCTACATTACCTTAAACAATTTTTTATTTTTCATTTTTAATCATCTATTGGATCCAAAAAATGAGGCAACTCATAAAAACTTTTGAAAAAACAGTGTTCCATGAAATCAAATCCCCGACAAATTTTTTCTGGTCGATTCAATAGCTGCGGCCGATCAGATTTAATTCGTTCGTCGAATGGTTTGAAATAAAACTTGATTGAACGGCCATACTGCTCACAATAATCCCGAACATAATTATCAGCTTCTTGGGAGACTCCATAAGATTTACGAATATCAAGTATTGTTAGTTTTGGCAAAATTAATATCAATTGCATGATGTGCTCATCTTTTAAAGAAGTACCTCGCAATGCCAAATGCTTTAGATTTGGATATTTCAACATGCATCTTGATAGTTCATTCCATTCGATTGGTTGATACTATTAATAAAATAGAGAAAAGTGTCAATTTGTCAAAGAGCTATCTAAATTAATCATTGCACTGAAAAAAGTTGCTACAAAATATGAATAACAGTCGACAGATCAATCGAGAAAAACGAATGAATGTCGACAATGAAATGATAAACAATATCATGATAGCACGCTTTTCAGAATTAAAATAAAGCAGGATCCTACTCACAAATTGTATAACTAAATCTCGTAAGTTATCACGTGTTATCAAATGATTGAAGGTGATGGTTCTTGAATCAATTTTGATATAAGCACTCTGTAATGCTGGGTACGCATCCATGAATTTAAATGAGCAGCAAATGTTTGCCCAATCATTAAGAGGCAAACCCATTTCAAGTATTTTAAGATTTGCCAATACTGGAGCATCAGAGTATTGTTCTGATAAGTCTAAACATGAAAAAGGTTAGTCAACAAACAATTATAAAAGATAATAAAATGTTTGAAATTACCTTCTGTTGCATAAATTTGAAGTCTTTCAAGATTTGGAAAACAATGTGCGACGGATTCGAATAGACCTAGATTATAGTTCCAAAGGTGCAATTGCTTCACATTTTCATAGATCCCACTCATCTTTGGATAAATATATCCGGTAGATAACATTTCGAGGTTAGCGTTTTCTGGTACCAATCCGAATTCCAGATGATTATCACAATCGAAGATTATTCCTTTCAAAGAGTTTGAATTTATGATTAGTCTAACCATATCTTCGATTGGTGCCCCTCCATTAAGTTGATATGAAAATTCGGCAATCTGTTATGGAATATTTGTATAAAAATAAAACTATAAAAACAATGAAAGTTAAATATTGTACAAAAATGTCAAATCTGTCAACAAACCCTTAAATTTGGAAACAATTTGCTCAAACATTTTACATCAATTGGTTCCTTAAGGTGCAGATAAACATAATCAGATGAATAATTTGGTTGATCTGAAATTAATAATTGATTTTATTAGGGAAACAATCAAAATAAGAATAGGCATCAATGCAAATTTAAATCTTACCAATCAAATATTGAAGTTTTTTAGTCCGCTCAACAATTTTAATACGCCAATTTTTGGAGACTGTAACTGAAATTTGTTGAATTATTCTTAAATTAAAATACAGTCGCATCTCTCAAAAGTTGCAAGACTGACGAGTCTCCTCTTTTTAAGAGATTTTTGGTGGCGCCATCTGCGAATAATTGGCTCGTTAATGCAACTTTTGAGAGGTTGACTGTATTGCACTTTTTCAGTCAGACGATAAACATAATTCATCTTAAGACAACGAAAGAAGCTTCATTTGCACAAAAGTTGGATACAGCATTTATCATATGTATTTTACTGTTATTTGACAAATGATAACTATCAATGATTCTAATATAATCTGATGTGCATTCATTTTAAAATATAAATAAATGGCATGATTCGCACTTACCTTTGAAGCAGTTTATTAAATCTCGTAAATCTTGTATGTAATCAAAAATAGTCAGCAAACAATCATCTGGAAGCTCATTTATTAACATTGTTAACAGCTTTGAAATGTTAACTTTAATCAATTTCCGTTAACAAAACTATAATAATTTTTTAAATAAAACAGCTAGTCGATTCAGAGGACTAGTCAGTTGAATGTAGAGCGAGATGTTCACCATAAACCGGTACCCGTAACCCGTTATTTGGTTAGTGGGGAAGGAAAAGTAACCGGTTAGTGATAACCGTCCCAGCTTGACTGATAAAATAAAATTAACGAGTCGTTTCATCAACTGTAACTTTTCGTTGGATGCAATTCACAATTTATTATCATTCATAATATTCATTAATAGGTTTCTCATTTCTCATTTCTCTCATAAACATTGCGTGACAATAATTCAAGACTAGCGGTTACCCAGCATTGATTGGTGTAATGACCAGTCAATTCCATCAAAGATCCAATATTATGGTCTGAGTAAGATATCGAGGTATGAGACATTTCTTTAAACATCCTAAACCTCACAGTTGCAACAAAATTTACGTACAAAAGATCAACAATTTTTTTATTTTTCATTTTTAATCATCTACTGGATCCAAAAAATTAGGTAAGTAATAAAAATTTTTGAAAAAACAATGTTCCATGAAATCAAATCCACGACAGATTAGTTCTGGTCGATTTAATGACTGCGGCCAGTCAGTTACAATTTGTTTGTCGTCGGCTTTGAAATAAAAAGCGATTGATCGGCCATACCGCTTACAATAATCCTGAACATGATCAGCAGCTTCTTGAGTCACTCCGTTAGATTCACGAATATCAAGTAGAGTAAGTTTTGGCAAAATTAATATCAATCGCTTGATGTCTTCATCACTTAAAAGTGCATTTCGTAATGCCAAATGCTTTAGATTTGGATATTTCAACATCAGTCTTCGTAGTTCATCCCATTCGATTGGTTCTGACTATTAAAATAAAGAAAAGTGTCAATTTGCGAGTAAATAACAATTGCATTGAAAAAAAGTTGTTTCAAAAATTCCAGAAACAGTCGACTGATCAAAGTTATCCCACAATTGAGACAGACATGAACACCAACAATGAAATGATAAACAAATCCATGATAACACACTTTTCAGAACTGAAATCCATCTCAGGTAAAATCCTACTCACAAATTGTATAACCAAATCTCGTAAGTTTGCATGTTTTATCGAATCATTGAACACAATGTGACTGCAATCAATTCTGATATGAGCACTCTGTAATGCTGGGCACGAATCCATGAATAAAAATGAATAGCAATTGTCACGAGGCCAATCAAAACTGCAAAAAGCCATTTCAAATATTTTAAGATTTGCCATTGCTGGATGATCAGGGCGATAATCTTTTCCATCTAAACATGGAAAAGGTTCATCAACAAGCAGCTATGAAAGATATTATAATTTATGAAATTACCGTCTGCAACATAAATTTTGATCCTTTCAAGATTTGGAAAACAATTCGCGATGCATTCGAATATACCTAAATCAGAGTTCCAAAGGTGGAATTGTTTCACATTTTACATAGATTCCACTTATGTTTGGACTGATGTTCCGAGTAGATAACATTTCGAGGTTACCGATTTCCGGCATCAATTCGAAATCCAAATAGTAATTACAAGGAAAGATTATTCCTTTTAAAGATTCTGAATCTCTGATTAGTTTATCAATATCTTTCGTTGGCGTTCTTATTATCATAGTTTCATTACTTCGTAGTACATTGGATATGTGAAACAAGTCGGCAATCTGTCATGATAATGGTTTGTAAAAATAAATATTATAAAACAAGCCAGTTAAATAATACAAAATCTGTCAACAAACCCTTAAATTTGGAAACAATTTGCCCAAACAGGTTACATCAATAGGTCGATTTACGTAGTTACAAACATAATCAGGTGAATAATACGATTGATCTGAAATTAATAATTGATTTGATGAGGAAAGTGGTTAACAATGAGAATAAGTTATAATCAAAATTGAATCTTACTAAACAAGTATTTGACTCTTCTTGTCCGACCAACAATTACATTGGACCATTTTTCGCAAACTGTAATTGCAATTTGTCCAATTACTATTAAATTAACTAAACATAACGTCAAACTAACAAAAGTGGCTGAAAATTGGAAACCCAAGAGGTTTTAATGAAACCGTTTCTTTCGCATAAAATTTTGATATAATACCATTTATCGCATTTTATTATATTGCAGCTCACTTTCAATTGAAAGCCAAAAAAGGATTTAACAATTTTATTTAATAACATGATTACACTTACCTTTGAAGCAGTGTATTAAATCTTGTAAATCTTGTATGTAATCAAGAATAGCCAACAAGCAATCATCTGGAAGTTCATTTATTAACATTGTTAAAGCATCTTTAAAATGATTACTTTAATCAAATACAGTCGAACTATAGAAGTTATTAGCGAATCCGAGCAAAAATTAGGATTCGATTATCTGATATTCAATTGTTGAGGGGGTGAACGAAAACCTGTCAGCTCGCTTTTGCATCTTCAAAGTTATAGTTGGCTTCAATGAAAGTATCAGCGTTAAGAGGTGACCAACTGGATCAAATATGATTTAACCTTAACTAGTCTATCCTATTCCGACATGCAATAAATTTAAATAGATCAAAAGCTAATTTAGTTAATTAAATTTGATTATCTTCCTCAGCTTGAGGATTAAACTAGCTAGTTGAGACTTTTAAGATCAAAAGGTGAGCTGACGGGTTCTCAATTAGCCTTACCGTTAAGCCAAACCATGGTTGGGGTAAATTGAAAGGCGGTCGAGGTCGATTGTTGGCCAAAGCATTATTGATCTCCTTCAGCAAGTCATCAATAGTCTTAAGAAGTTCCTAAGCTTCATTGTTTACAGATTTTTCCTGATTGTCAATGGCACTTTCAGTGGTCAACTCGTCTTGTGATACAATTGCTGCACCAGAAACAGTGTAGACAACGAGAGATAAAATAACAATTGTAAATGAACGCATTTTGCAAGGGATTTTGTGATATCAAATCAAACTTTAAACTCGAATAATCTGACGATAATGATTTGAAAATAGTCAGCAAAATGCATTATGTACTAGCGATACTCACCCTGGTTTAATACGAAATAGATCGGAAAACACTGTCAAGTATTTTGAATGACATGTCGAGGCTTATTTAAAAAAACAATCACACAGATGCAGCAAGTTCGCGCTTTATGAACTTGAGAATGCATTGGTTTTTATAAGCAGCTGAAGTTTAAATGATTCATTGACTCATAAACACTTTCATGCAGGGAAGTTGTTAAGGTACTACAAAATTTGGCAACCTTTTTGAACCTTCATGAACCTTCACAAAACCTGAGAACATTAGAGTCACTAAAAAAATTCTCCAATCGATAGTTTTCGATTAAATTAATGTCAAAGTTTAAACTTACATCGCTTTTTGTACAACTATTTGTACCAGATTTTTCATGAAACTCATTTAACTTTTGATGGACAACCAGAAAATAGATTTATCTTGATAAATAAAACTTTATTTTTCTCTAAAACAGTTGAGTTCGACCTTCATTTAAATCCATCGCATTCTATAACCGTAAGAGTTAATGACCTGAAACTTATTATTTGTTCATGCAAATTGCTCGTTCACAACAACAATAAAAAAAATTTAGCAATAAATAAACGGATATCTTGATTTTGGCCATTGGCCGTGAAACTTTGGGTCTCAATATTTCGAGAAAGGTTTCTCCTACACTCATTATTCTTTGACATACCAGTAGATTTTATTATTGCCTAAAATACATTGAAATTTCAGACGATTGAAAATCCTGCAAGAAAAGTTATAGCACTGCTTTCCTTCTGATGTCTGATTTGTGAATTAATTTATAAAGATGATTTGTTACTCGGCCACAAATTCATTACTAGCTGATTTAGCTCAATTGTTTTTCATTATTCGGTAATGTTCTGTAGATTTATCATCTAACCGGGCTAAAATCTACTGATGACTACAAGAATGATGATTGTAGGAGAAACCATTCTCGAAATATCGAGGATCAAAGTTTTAAGTCCAATAGCCAAAATCAAGAGAACTGTTGTTATATTGGAAAAAGTTTTGGGTTGCTGATGTGCACTAACAATTTTTATCTACGAATAAAAAGTTTAAGCTCTCTAACTCATATGGTCATAGGAAGTGATCGGTTCAAATGAAAATCGAACATTAGCAGTTTTAAAAAAACAGAAAATATTATTTCTCTAAATAAGACCATTTTCTGGTTTGCCGTCAAAATTTACACAAGTAAATTAGAGTTTTATGAAAAAATCTGTCTCTTTAGCTGAATAAAAGGCGATCGAAGTTTTGACTTTGACCTTGATTTTCTAGAAGACTATCTATCGTATGCATTATTTAATCGCACTAATAGACTCAGTTCTCATTTTCCTTTAAACCCCAGCAAGTCACAACTCTTTACTCAAATGTTCGAGTCTTTGGCATTGATCTTTGCATTACATTTGCAACATTAACCAGAAAATTGCTTTATTTACCAAGAAATGGGTTGAGATGTGTTTTGTTTGTAAAGTAAGTTGTTTTTCGTATATTTACAACCGGATTTACAAATTAAAAGTTTTTTAACAACGCTAATGGACTCAGATTTTGTGATATTACACCAAAACTATTAATAATAAACAATCTTAAACCAAGTCAACCTCTCAACTCGAAAGTCAAAGCTTTTTTCCATAGTCCTTTATTAAGTAATTTGATTTTGAATTAGATCTCCAATTGCATTGTTGTATCGCATTCTGGTACTTCATGGAGTATCTATGCAATCTAAGGAATGAGTTCTCGTTGTCAGTAAGTTGGAGTATTAAGTAGATTCACATGAATGAAATTTCTGATTCTGTTACTTTAACTGAATTTAATGGCAAAATTGTGTTTATCATGTTGTTTGTATGTTTTTATTGAAAGCAGTCTAAATGCAGTATGAGTGTAAAGCACCAAAATACCGAAATGATAATCAGAGGAAAAGCTTATGGTGCAAAATTTCGAAGAAACAAGATTGATTGACTTAATCCATACATTGATATTCACTT